CCATCAATGATTCCATCCTGAGTCTGCAACGATTGGATGGGTGGACCATTCTGGCTGCGATCCATCTCACGCCGTTGCCTTACACCCAGTCATTTGCAAGGACCATGACTGTAGCTCACACCGACAACCTCACTTTTCAATTTCAGATGCTGCACTTTGCGCGAGGCTATCACTGAGGGTTTTTTCGTGCTCTACATAGGCGGATCGACAGACTGAAAAGCCTCAGAGAAATGACCCACAACCTCTCATTGAATAATTTCAAGCGGTTAACGTCAGGGCCACGTGGTGCGATTCCAGGGCCTAAGGGGCTTATAACCACCTGAAGCTTGCCACAAAACGCACTTGGCTTCAGAGCAACTCAATATTCTGGCTCTCTCCATTTCCTGCCGCTACAAGTTCTTCGGTCTTTACTAGTGGTTCCTGCATACGCGCACAGATATCCGGCACCTGTGCGATAGGTATTCTGCATATTCATTCGCCAAAACTAGAATTCAAAATTAATGAAATACATCAAGAGCTACATGGAGGGTGGCCTCTAGAGAAGAAATTCAGTGTTGCTCCGGGATAACTTGCCTAGCTCTTAGTATTCCACCAACCTACAGTCATCATTGCGGACCGGTGGGGCGTGTCAGCCAGTATGAGTGTGCACACTGTTGAAGCCGTTCTCAGCCTTTTGTTGAAACGCGTATGCGACAAAAAGTGGTAGAAAACGAGTAATACGAAGGATATAATACAGTAATGTCACTTGCCCGCTTCAACTGGTGCAGAACGACTTTGGCACCGCGCCAAACGCAGCCGCACTGACACGCCCCACCGGTCCGCAATGATGAGGACTGTACATCGGAACCTTGCAAGCTATTCCTGGGTGTTAAATGTGATAAAAGCAACATTGATAGAACTGAGTCTCCATAACCTGGAGGAGCTCCCATACGACATACCGCTCAGGAGAGGCTGCAAAGCAAGTAATCAGTGTTAGTCAACGGATACCCCATACGCTTAAGTGATAATTGTTTGCGACCTAACTGTGTGACACCCAAAACGGTCATCCAACCTGGGTCCTCAAGTACGTCGAAAGAGCGCCAAGAAAGTTGCCTTCCCACGGCTGAGACTTCATAAAAGCGACGTGCAAATAAATTGAATAATTCCATAAATCGCAGAAAACAAGAATTTTCTAGAATTCCTTCTGAGCTTTACAAATGGATGAATCGAGTAGTTGCTACTGCTCAAACGGAAAACATGTTTCCTTCGAGGCGTGACCTATAGAAGTAAAAGGTGTAACATACAAGTTTCATTCAGGATGTGCCGGCTGGCTACTGATTGCTACCCTATGTCGAATGCCGGTCTCTACCACTCACTCATTGGTCGGCGCCACCCTTGGTTTTTCTATCGTTCTGCGTGGATTCAATGGTATTCGCTGGATTAAAATCGCGGATATCGGTAGGTACATTGCAGGAAATAACTATAGTCTCAAAACCAGACGGCATGGTTTACAAAGAATATTTTTAGTAGCTTCATGGTTTCTATCACCAGCACTATCTGGCACAATTTCCGTGATTCTCTACCTGATTGTGGATTTCACCGTATTGAGAAGGGTGAGCTCAACAGTAAGTTATAGAAGATTTCAATCGATTACATTGATGACTTTTCAGAAAAAGCCACTTCAATGTGGTTTGCGAGTGTTACCAGTCTTCTACTTCGTCTGTATCACATTTGATGTGCTGATGATCACCTTAGACGGTTCAAGATGTTCGTTTGCTTCACATTACTAGGTTTGAAGTGCGCTGTTCATGGGGTATAAAGCGCATTACTTGTGGCGGAGAATACGCGACAAACGCGTGCAAAGAATTCCTAAAGGCTGCAGGAGCTTTTTAGATGTTTTTTTGTTCGTAATCGTTTATTTATCGAACACCGCCTGCTCAACATAGGCCATTTACATGCAGTTTATATCGTCACGACCTATCGGGGCGCAAGCAGCGGTTCCCACCTGCGGCCTTCCCACCAGTGGCTGATTCCTTCCTACATGGATCATTGCTCGATCACCATTGGTGGAGCAAGGCAGCCGGAAGCAAGCTCGTGCCGCGCTGCGCTCGCCGCCCCCGACAAATTGCAATGTTACAAACTATACAATCAAGGATAGAAGCAAGCAAAAAAACGCAAACGGAATGTCAGAAGAAAGTTCCCTGCGCTAGAGGCGAAGGTGCGCCCTATACAGAAGTGCGCCGTTTACCCTGGAAGTAGGGTAATTAACTGATTGAACAACGAGAGGAGTCACAAAAACCTATAATGAATCCCCATTTTTCAGTATTGCGCTTTGACAAAATCCCTGTGTGGGGAGCCATCATCGCCTCTCTGGGATGCGGCGTGATTGCCGCTGCTTTCGTTCAGTTTGTGATGAAGCCGCGATTCATTCGGAAAATCCGAGGTTTGGCTTTTCAAAAGTTCGAAGGTATCCACCTTTATTTTCAAGTGCAAAAAAAATTCAGCGACAACATCCGCAATGCCGATTGTCTATGCGGTCACAGTCAATTCAGACTTGGAAACGGACCGATATGTAGAGCAAAAGCTCGAAAAGGAAGCTGAGCTAGAAGGGCGCTTTAATGGTAAGGAATTTTATTTTGTATCTAAGACGGAGTTTCCATGACTGGTTTATGGTTTTCTTTTAACTTCTACCTCCCTTCCTAACTTCCCCCTCGAAAAATTAATTAGCGAAGGAGTTCTGCTTACATCCACATGTAATCAAAAGTCTCATTATGTTACCCACCGTTATGCATTCTCTTGAATCACAGCTATTGAGCCAAATGTCCGAAATTCAAAGCTGGTATTCTCATGAGATTTGCGAGGAAACACTACGGTATTGATATCAAGTCAGAAAAAGTGCCATTCAAGACCTCATAGCTCCGGAGCTGCGTTGAAACGATCAACCCGGGTTCGCTTTCTGAAAACCGTTTCGGCAATCGTAGAGTGCTTTGATCCGACTCCGTAAGTGGTCGTAGGGCGGCTTTGTTGCCTTACGTTTCGGTGGGATCGCCTTTTCAGAGCCTAAAATGGTCGAGGAAATTCCTCACTCGGCCAAACGTACCCATCACCTTTTTCGAGTTCCACTTCAAGACAAATCATCATGTGAGAAGGGCAACCGCCGTAGCTCACATCAGGTTGATCCTGACGGCTTACCTGGAACCGATAGAAAATACTCAGATGGATCCTTACTGGTCACTGTGATGAGGCCATTTTTACATGAGGCCTTAGCTCCCGGATTATTGTAATTACTTCTTCCCTCAGCTCCACTTTTGGGAGCACAGTACGAGTACATGGAAACTTCTTTGCTATCGCTTACTATTGTAGGTGTGCGGTCGTTCATTGGCTGGTTGCTTCCTGATAAGGACCGTGTTACAGATGATGAAACAATCAAGCTCTTTTCAACAATTCAGGTAATCTACACCTTTCGGGTATTGTATACAACTGCAGCATCAGTCACTCAGGTGTAAAAACATGATAAAAAAGATGAAGTAGTATCAATAAACTAATGGCACTAAATAAGTTCTATACAGCCGTCTTTTGCAGGTATTCACCGCTTGCTTTGCCGGCTTTGCTCATGGTGCCAATGATGTAAGGTAAGGACGCCAAAATCGCTATAGTTTTTTTTGAGGCGGAGGTGGTGTAGTGACAAGTGGCGCTTACCACTCGCGCGGTCTTGGGTTAAAATCTCTTGTCGACTCCCGCCTAAGCCAAGCAAGCCTCCCCCTGGAGACGGTAAATTGGTACCAAATTCGTCTGGGAGAATACGAAACACTGACTTGTTCATCGGCTGGTCTCCACAAGTCATTGTATAGGCCACATCGCATTCAATAAGCCACTACGATCCAGAGTTTCCCGTGGATCACCATCACAAGCGTGAAAGCATCCAAAAAGGAGGCTCACGAATGACGTGTCCTCTCGTTTTTTTTTGCATGCCGTGTTCTTAGGTTGAAGAGCTCAAGTAAGCTAGGCTCACTGAGGCTTTCCCGCTGCGTAGATTCGGTCAAAGCAGAAGAAGCCATCCGCCATTCAGGTACTGGTGACTTGATCCCCGTGCACCTGCTTCAACATCTCAATCTACTTTCTGCTCTAATCACTCGGCCCAGGAATGAAATGCTTGTTTGGTTCGAACAGGGCCGAAACCGATGAATGAGGCGGATATTAAAAGCACTCTAACTCACTCCTCCCTTCCCCCGACTCTCTTAAAAAAACTACATCCTTTCCCCGTTCAGAATTCAAATAATACACCAGTCACAATTGATTTTAACACCATACTTTTTAGCAACGCAATTGCTCCCTTGACTGCTCTTGTGTCAATATACAAAGACAAGAACGCCTTACAAGAAGGAGAGGTGAGGACGGATGATCCATAAAAAAACGGAAAAATTAACTTTCCGACTGATTCAATAGTTTTGTATTTAGGTACCCATCTATATACTACTTTATGGAGTGTTCGCAATTTGTGTGGGACTGTGGACACTCGGACATCGGGTTATTCGGACCGTTGGTACCAACATGTCAGAAATCAACCCCGCAACGTAAGTCCGGAAAGGAATGTCGGCGTCAATAACATTCTGGGAGGAGCAACCAAAGAACTCCTTGTGCGAAACTGCGAGTACTATAGCGGAATGGGGTATTTGCCAAAGCCTAACGGGGAAGGGAGCTGCGGGTTGCGTGAACCACTTTCATGTGCAGTACCACTATTGATCTCAAAGCCGGTTTGGCACTAGGAGCCCCACGATTATCACCGCTATAATTTCGAGCACGAAATACTGAAAATGGTTGAATAATCTTCAAAAAGTCTTCAAAATGAAAACAAGCATATTAGTGTTTTCAATGCTAGACTGTAATTTTGATCATACTGAATTCTTTCAGCGGTTGTGAACAGGTCCCAGTATCTCTAGGTTCGTAAATCTAATGTGATTATTTTTCAGCCCTAAGAAATAGCAAGAAGCAAAAAAATCCAAAAAAACTTGTTCAATGCCTCCTTTAGGTACATGTTTCGAATCACTTCTATTTCTAACAATAAGCTGAGGCGGAGGTGGTGTAGTGACAAGTGGCGCGCTTACCACTCGCGCGGTCCTGGGTTCGAATCCCAGGTCGACCCGCCCAGGCCAACCAAGCCTTCTACCCTCCGGGGACGGTAAATTGGTACCAGATTCGTCTGGGAGGATAAAACACTGACATCGGCTGGCCCCGCAAGTCATTGTATAGGCCACATCGCATTCAATAAGCCACTACGATTCTGAATGGAAGTAGAATGCGTGCCGCATCTGATTAACGGCGAAGACTTTATCCTTTTTTATCTTTCATGTAGTCTTTTAATGCTAGAAAGTGTTCCACCTAGCAATTCGGTTATGCACACTGGAACTGAAACACTTTTTTCAGTGGTTTCACCATAGAATTTGGTGCCGCCATGACAGGACTGATATCGAGTAAGCTTGGACTTCCGATTAGCACCACGCATTGTTTGGTGAGAACTTGACTTGGTCTTATTCTTATGAATTTCTTATTAGAAACAGGAATTCTCTACATTTTGGCGCTGTAATTTTCCCTTGTATTCTGAAAAGACACGTTGATTCTGACATTGATTAAAGGCAATTGGCACGATGGTTTCCTACTCCTAAAATACTAGTAGGGCGTTATATAGTGGGGAAGTGGCAAAAGAATGGAGTGAAGAAAAAGCCTCCGTTCTCAGTGACTTGAAAATCGATTTCGGACGAGTTTCCCGTAGGCATCTTACCAATCACCGCTACCGAGGCTTCATACCAATCCCTTCGCTTCATAATTTGCTTAGCAAACGAATGAATACGAGCATCAGGAAAGGTCGTCCATTTGTGGGCGGGCGGGTGTGGCGGGCGTTCGGGACGTAAAGTTGGGCTTGATAGGGCCCTAAGAGCCCTCCCTCGGGGAAACCGCTATGCAGCGCCTGCCCAGGTTCGCGGAATTCTGTCTTGCCAGGAGTATTTATCCTAGTCGTCTTGGAGGATTTATTGTGCCTACTGCCTTTAATGATGGTACGACATGATATTAGTGAAAACTGCAGCCTCGTTCGACCGTCGGAAAGAGCAGGACCTGGTTTCCTCCTTGGTGCGCCCATTGCTTTTCGAGACATGGCGCCATCAGGGAGGAAACCAGCGTCCTCCTTAGGGAGGAGCCGCGAGTAAAAGGATTAATAGTTAATGCAAAGCAAAAATCAACCCATCGTTTTGTCATTGTCTCCCCACCCTTTCCACCCTTTTGAGCAGTTGAACAGTAAAGCAGAAATTCCGTTCTCCGCATCAGTGAATATTTCAGGTAGGATCAGTTGTAGCGGTAGGAGTGGTCAAATCGCGTGAAGGTATCCAGTGGAGGATATTTCGGAATATTGTCATCTCATGGGTAGTTACTGTACCCATCTCAGGTCAGTGTAATAAACGGTTCATTCAGAAGTTCGGAGGAATGAAACTCTCTACAAAGAATGAAAATCTCTGGCTTGTAATTTTGGAAGATTGGTCGCTCCAAAATTCCCTCTCTACTGAATAAGAAGAACATTCGTCGCACAAAATGAACTCAAAATACTTGTGATCACTGGTCGCATTTGCTGAGAAACTTTGCACTGTTCTGGTTAACAACAGTAATCGATTCCTATGCACAAAAATCATCTGAAAGTGATGGAAGTTGTTGAAAGGTTCACGGATTTTATCAGCTCTAGCGGCGCTGAAAGGGTGGAAGTTAATATGGAACAGTTCAAAGATGCAAACAATGTTTAATTCAAAAATAATTAACTCGGTATTGCAAGGCTTCGCATGTAGTCCAGAATATCCAAAGTCCATCACGCGTAAGTTAGCAAATTCCGCCAGCTAGTAAGCTTGACACGCTGCAACGTTACAACGCTGATCAGCCGAGTCCTGGTGCGAATGCCGCTCGCGTGACATTGCTTGCGACGAAATCTTTTGCCGTAGCGCCGCTGCTCGGATGCGCTGAACTACAACCTAAGCCTTTTGCTCGTATTGAATCCAAAGGTTGCAGTCAAGTACCAACCCATTTCAGGTCTCCTCTCCGCCGGCATTATGTTTCTGTTGAAGTTCACGCTTTAATAATTCGTCTGTGAAATTCTCGATGTATTTTTGTCATATATGGTTGCATTTTATTCAAGCAGCATAACCACTCACATGATTCACTTGAATGCGCTGAATATCTCACGCGCAGGGACGCATAAGGCTTTCATAATAAGTTTAAATGTTCACATTTCTATTGAGGTTGTATAAAATTCACC